GAATCGATGCCGTCATTCCAGATCAAGTTAGTTGAAAACGTCAGGCCAAGAAGGCACAGTGTGTTGCTCTCCAGGAGTCTAGCAACAGCCATGTTGACGGCGGGTAGGGAAGTTTCTCTATGGTGATTAAATGAGAACACTTCCGTTTTGGAGGCATTCAAATTTACAAGGGTATAGGCTTGGAGAATACCCACTTTCGTGTGAAAGGATCTGGAAGCGAGCTTGTTCAGAACACGATTTGATTGGGACGATTGGATTAAATCAAACTAATCAATCTAGAGCCACAGTAGGAGCTTAACTGTTATTATCAATAGCTCTATAAACATATTCAGTGATGACCGTTATCAATTCAGCGGTAGACCGGGCAACACGGAAGCCATATTGTTTGTCAAAAATGGAAGCCATATTGTTTGTCAAAGAGTAGATCGTGAGAGGTAAGATGCTTAACTACTTCACCATTGATTAATTCCTTAAAGCCTTTGCCGAAAAACGGTAGGTGACGAATAGGGCGATAGTTAAAGATGTCAAAATATTCTCCAGTGTTCTTCAAAACAGGAACTATAAAGGAGGATTTCCAACAACTTGGAAAGCATGAAAAAAGAAGCAATAGTTGTAGAGTTTGGCGAGCCAGCCGAGGAAAAAATTTCTTTAGGAGGATGGCTGAAATATCCTCACCTCCACTTGCCTTATGAGAGCCTAATTTAGAACTGATGCCTATTATCCGCGTATTACTCTGTAGAGCCTCTGTTCTAGTGGAGAAATCAGATGTGGGGACTCTAAATGACTCGAGTGTTGCATTGGAAGAGAATTTCCGAGCAAAGCATTTCTTTCTTACTTATTCTTTCGAAAATATAGAAGATAATTTCTAAAACAAAAATATATTCCTCCTTCACAGAAAAAAAAAACTATTATGAACGTTTCTTGTTTCTAAATCGAAATATTTTTTACATGCATGATCTTCCTTAGTGAAAAATCGGCAATGGTTTGAAATGAGGAAAAACATTGCCATCGACGAAAAGTTACAAAATTCCAGAAACACTTTATTCGTTGTTTGTGTAATGTGTTAATGTATGAGAAAGGGTGAGCAAGCAAGTGAGTACGAAAAAAAGTTTTTAATAAACGTTATTTTACTAATGAAATTATGTGTACTATTCTGAAAGCCAAACCGGTCGCATGTGTCAGTAACTCATCACTCGTAATAATTTTGAAAAAGAAATGCTATTCCTGCTTTGAGTACCTATTGTGTAAGGTGTTCCGAAAGTTTTGTCACCCCTATCTTACTTATTATAAAACGCAGATTGTGTGTGTGTGTGTGTACATTTATATATTGGATCGGATTTCCTACATTTTTCAACCAATTTCAACAAAACTTCACAGGACTACGTAAAATTACCTTGCGGTGGTTCTGACGGCGCCAAAAATGGAAAAACACAATTGTTTTTGCACGAAATCAATTTGAAAACACGATAAAACACGATTCTGTCGCCAGAATGAAAGGGTGACAACTCATATCGAGTTATACTTATCATAAAATCCAGGTTGTTTGTGTGTGTGTGTGCGTTTATATATGGGATCGGATTTCAACAAAACTTCACTTTTTTTGGCAGGTAATGTTTCTTATTGTTTTGCACACTTTTTTCTTTATTTTTACATTCAGAATGCTTTAAAAATTCCATTTACAAGACAATTGTTTTTAATAAAATTCTATTCAATCGATAGACTGATAACGATTGAAAACAATGTTTTTGTTTGAGTTTGGGTTTGATCAATTCGTAAAAGAAACTCCCAAAAACATAACTAATTAAGACATGCGTGTCCGTCAATCTTAAACAATAATCTTTGTCAATTTTATTTTTCAGTCTTTATGATGGTCGATACTTGATCTATCTCTTACTGTTACATCCCCGGGCAACGCCGGGCTCTACTGCTAGTATAATATAATTTTCTATTTCAGATGGCTGACATGAAAATGATGATGTTCAAACAGCCCTTCTCGATGTTTGACAGCATCAATGAAGATGGATAAACTGAATCCAGTACATTTGCTTTGTATTACTTGTTCTTCTATTGTTCTCATTACTTTTTTGTAGTGGATGACAAGACTTTCGGACCACTCCACCGAAAAAATTTCATTTTTTTTCTTTACGAAGAACGAACGGTAGAATTAAAATGTAAAAGTTTTCTTCAAATAAAGTTTTTTTTTTAAGCATTTCACCCCAAGCAAGGCGGGAAGCCACTAGGACGCAAGGGGTTACAGAACATTTAGAGCAAGATCAGATTTGAGTGATAGAAGAAAGGATGAGGAGAAGAGTAGTGGATAGATCAAGGCAACTGTAGATGTCGATTGACATTACACTTGAATAGCTGGAGATTGTAGCTCACAGGGAAACAGGAGAAGGGAAGGGAGTTCCACAGGCGAGAGGTGCGAGACATGAAGCTATTGGAGTAGAAGAGACGGCTACATTTAAGAGTTTCGACAGTGAAGGGGTGAGAGCGGAATGCCAGCCTCGTAGGGCGCTTGAACTCATGACGTCTGGGAACCAGCGAATGCAGCTCCTCGGAGCAATTTCCATGAAAGTATTTGTAGAACAGACAGAGGGAGGCGACGGCGCGTCTGTGAGAAAGTGGCTGTAGGGCAGGGCCAACCACATTGCATATCCACAAAGAAAAATAATTAAAATATTTAATAATTAATCAATATATTTACTGTTACTTACTACATTGTACGAAATTTTTAATGACATCTTAGTTTGTTCTGTAGTTTAAAAGAGTTACAAATACGAGAGTGGGCTGAAAATTTCAAAAGTTGATAATATTTATTGTGCAAAATACGCAATTACGGCGCAAAGCCAAAAATGAGGAGGGGTTGGGGTTTGACTTCACTATCTATCTTATACCTAGCTGATCCGATTCACGACCCATTCATACATTACAATTTCCATATTCACCAAAAGAACTCGTCCGACACCAATCAATCTTCCAGACACCATAATACCGCATCCTCTCAAGGGAGACCTACAAAACGCGCCCCATGCATTAAAACTATAATGATTATATATGTACAATTAAAAATTTATGGATGAATAAAATGAAAGGGGAGGGAGATGAACCCAATAAGAAACTAATACACAAAAGTAACAAAACATAACTGATGTTAGTAGGGCCCTTCCAACCCTCAAAAATGAGAGGCCGCTGTTCAAATACTGACTATGAAGGAATGATGCTTGAGTTTGGAAAACTAGTGAAGGCTACAGTTGCTTAAAATGTGGATATTGGCTGGATGAAATACCATACCAAAAATTTGATAACTTTTCAGCCCACCTTCATACCTGGGAATAAAAAATACAGTTATTAATAAGAAGTGTTGAAATTAATGCATGGAAGACTTCACAGTTCCAGCATCATTAATTAAGCAGTGCGATTTGGTTACATTTTAAGGATGTATTTACGAAGAATGTTAAAATGAAAATTCGACAAACTTCTTTGTTTTTTTTTTAATTTCTCTTAAAAATTAAAAACACAAATTATTCATTAAAACCTAAATTTTATAATCAATATGTTCATTGTTACGAAGAAGAATATCGAAGAGGAAAAATTAACTTTGATCAAATTCTCAACGACAGTTTCTTTTTAATTATGTATTATTCTTTCTTTTTTACAATAATCATAAAAATATTCAACTCCAAAGAAAAGACAATAAATAGATCCTTATGTTTTAAATGATACGAATAGGTTATTTCGTCTGTGCCGGTAAAATAGACAAGACTATCTTGCCGGTTCTTATAAAATAGACGCCAAGGTTATTTCGCCGGTAAATATAGTGTTTTAGAAGCATTTTAATAAACTTTACATATTATATATATATATATATATATATATATATATATATATATATATATATATATATATATATATATTCAGTATAGCCATGGAACTATTTTTTGCTGAACTAGAAGAAAAGCTGTTTTTATCTTCGTAGGCATAATCACGACGTTTCGACCGTTGTACTTCCCGGCCTTCTTCAGGATATGCCTATATTTCTGAGATGAGATATTGTAATTATTCACACTATTTAAATTGTTCGGACTGTTGTTCTTATCTTTGTTGCCATGTTCACGACGTTTCGCCCGTTTTATGCTCCGGCTTTCTTCAGGATCTGTCTCTATTTCTGAGATGAGATATTGTAATTATTCATACTATTTACATTGTGTCGCACTGTTGTTCTTATCTTCGTTGCCATATTCACGACGTTTCGGCCGTTGTGTGCTTCGGCCTTCTTCAGAACCTGTCTATATTTCTGAGAAGATGTATTATAATTATTTACACTATTTACATTGTGTCAGACTTTTGGCCTCATCTTCGTTTGTCATGGTAGCACTTGTAATTCTCTCAGAATCGTGTAAAGGTTCAATAAGTACGATGAGATGACGTATCCTTGTTTATCCCTTTTCTATATTTGTATATCTGCTGAGCTCAATTTTTTTTCCGTATGTAGAAATTTACTGCCAATCTTGATATCTAGTATCTATAATATATCATTTTAATACCCTTACCATACAAATGTAAAACAAAATAGAAACAAGAAATGTTTAGCCACCTACCTATAGCATATTCGGCAAACAGATGAAATTCAATGGCATATCTACTTTATGAAATTCAAGCTTTAAAATGAAGCCATCAACAGGTTAGGCACTTTGTTTTTTGGGTTTTTTTATACGCTCCAAAGAAAAGCCTTACATTAATATAAATCTATTTCTATAAGTGGTATCTCTTTGCAGCAAAATCGTTACACTCAATTTGTATTAATTTTTCAAGAATCTTGGGAAGAGAAATCAAATTAAAATCAATGTTAAATCCGCTAGGAAAAAAAGATCTTTAAATTCCCCTCGTTCATTTGTTTATTTAAATTGTCAGTGTGAAATTATGCGGAAAGATTGTCTTTTTGCTTTGTTCATTTCTCCCATTGGTTTACATTTTGTGAAGGATATTGATTTTAAATGATGGTGGGTGCAATTTACCATAATGATCACATACTTGCATTTAAAACCATAAACTTTTCAATCACGTGTTTAATATATCGAAGTATAGAAAATACATCTATCTATCTATCTATCTATCTATCTATCTATCTATCTATCTATCTATCTATCTATTTCAGTTTGTTTATATCTATCTATATATTTCAGTTTGTTTATATCTATCTACTTCAGTCTGTACATACCAATCTATTTCTTACAGTCTGACTTTATCTATCTATGTATGTCTATGTTTGTTTATTGTGCTCTTTCCTTATCTATCTCTCTATCAATATATTGCAGTCTATCTATCTATCTATCTATCTATCTATCTATCTATCTATCTATTTGTTGCAGTCTGCCTTTATCTATCTATCTATCTATTTCAGTTTCTTTATATCTATCTACTTCAGTCTGTACATACCTATCTATTTATTACAGTCTGACTTTATCTATCTATGTATGTCTATGTTTGTTTATTGTGCTCTTTCCTTATTGCTATGGGAACTTACCCCTAATAATAATGGACTATTTCTGACATTATAAATACTGCGCCTCTCAAGAGGTATATAGATATTTTAAAACGAGTAGAGATAATTGAGAGCATATTGTAAGTACATTGGAATAGTGATACTTGTCGAGACAACATAGTTCACTCTAACCAAATCTGATAGTCATTACTAATACTTCTACTTCTTTGTATTATATTTCATTTGTAATATATCTTTGTATTCCATACCTGTGTTCGTGTTATTCTTTCATTGGTTCTAAACTTGGATCATCACCGTGGTACAAGGACCATAACACTCTATCTATATATTCCAATCTATCTATCTATCTATCTATCTATCTATCTATCTATCTATCTATGTCTATTCATCTGTATATATCTATCTCAGTCTACTGGTATCTATCTATCTATCTATCTATCTATCTATCTATCTATCTATCTATCTATCTATCTTCAATCCATCTCTCTCTCTCTCTCTCTCTCTCTCTATCTATCTATCTATCTATCTATCTATCTATCTATCTATCTATCTATTTTCATGCAATCCGTTACCTATCTATCTATCTATCTATCTATCTATCCAAAACTTATGGCCACATTACGTTGACACACCAGTTCTCCTTACTATCACTGAAGTTAAGCAACATTGAACCTTGCCAGTAACTAGATTGGTGACAGCTGGGTAATACAAGGTGTTATAATCTCGAATGTGCGGGTGGTGCAATGGATAAAGACTCGGAATGAGAAATCGGAGAGCCGAGTTCCAATTCCAGTGGGTTCGTTTCATTCACGTACATGCAAAAACCATCAGGAATGGTACGAATATACCTCTCCTTTTAATAAATGGGTTTCCTTTCTCCTTAGTTTACCTACTTAAGGAGCCCTTCTCTTTCTTTAAACAATTGTATGTACATATTTTGATAATTGTTTTAATAATAATTAATGTTATAAGTATAATTGCGGTAAATTGTTATGAATTGTTATTGGTATAATTATTGTAATTGCTGTAAAACATCGTTGCGAATAAATATCTTCTTCTTACGATAAAGAGAGGCGGGGAAAAAGAGGATGCTTCGTCGTTCACTTCAATCTTAACCTCTTCAAGTCTAGAGTCAACCGTTTTTTGTTCTACATAGGTTAATAATCTGCACTTCAAACCTTTTCTTTTTATGTCCATAAATATATTCGGTCACCTTTTGAGAAGAGGGTTAAGTTAGGCCTTGTGCTGGGTGAACAACAGCATAAAAAAATATTGTATTTCAGAAAATCTTTTTTTTCTAAACATAATCCTTACGTTCATTTTCTTTTACTTCATCCCCGTGATTTTTCGTTTTTTGTTCAATCAATTTCAGCCGAACCAAGGAAATAAAGCCTCTAAGACGCAAGCCTTTACTGAAAGTGAAGGTGTTATAGTCCAGGTCCTTGTACCACAGTGATGTTCCAAGGTAGAACCAATAAAGAAGAACTCGAACACGGATATGGAATAACACAGATATATTACAAACAGGAATATATACAGAGAAGTAGAAAGTGTTAGTACGAACAATCAGGTTTTAGTAGGGAGAACAATGTAGTCTCGACCTGTATCACTATTCCAATGTCTTGTAGTAATTGTCTGAACGCGACTCTGTTTCAGACTGCCTCTGACTCGCTCGCTCTGACTGACTGACAGACTCCTGACGGAGTTCTGAGGGACCTCAATCCAGACAGCAGACTGAACTCCAGACTTCGGACTGAACGATATTCAGCCACCCCCCCACACACACACACGAGGGCGTCATGTGGCACAAGGCCTTTTTAACGTGGTATAAACGGGTTCAGGGTCGGTTTACCTCCCCGTAAGTGACTCCGCCCTTCGGCGTAGACTCGTTCGGGTTCCTCCCCGCCCGTAGGCAAAGAGTTCAACCGATCAGCCGGTCGCCCGACTTCGGACTGAACTCCCTGCTTCCTCTTGAGGCGCAGTATTTATTACGTATGGAATAGTCCATTATGTTATTATGGGTAAGGTCCCATAACAGAAAGAAACTGAGAAAACGTTACTGAGGAGAAAGGTCACTAAATAAATCAGGAATCAAGAAAATGACGATTGACATTGCATTTAATTAACATGAAAGCAAGAACCAGGAAGAGATTGCCACAAGCGAGAAAAGAAACTACTAAGTCTCTAAGGTATTTATCATTGTCTTAACATGCCATATGTTTCATACTTTTAAATTTTTCTTTACAGAACATAGATTACGATAGTGTAATTACCCATGGAAAAATTTGTAACAGAATAAAGAAACAAATTTATGGAATTATATTTTCGATTTTAGCAAATTCAACATTTTGCACCCAAAGGGAATACTATAAATACACCCATGACAGAAAACCGCCGTTTGATTTCATGATTCCTTGGTAGATTCAACGTTTTAATCAATATGGCTCCATTGGTGACTTGTCTCAATATGAAAGATCAAATACAGACTGCAGATGAACTGGGAACATGTGTGAAACTGTGTTAAACAAAAACAAAGCATATCGATTTAGAAACACTCTGATTACTTGAAGATGTTTCGATATCCTTGCATTTCATATTAAGAGACAATTTGCACCTGTACCCATACAAATTGCAAATTGTATAGAATTTGCATTCTTAGATTACTCAGTCCAATTTCATATTCCTGGGTATGACAATAAACTACATCCGGCGGCAAGGCCTCTGATTGGAGGTTTTTGAGGAGCGTGGAACTACCTCTTAATTGCTGTTGTTCCCAAAAGCACCCTGACCAGAAGTCGCAGCACCTGTTAGGGTCCCAGCTATGGGCAAACAGCGAACACCAAAACAAAAACAAAACCCGATAAAAGCATAAAATTACACTCTAATAGTAAGAATGCCAGCAGTACATATTTATATAAAAAATATTACCAAAAACACCTATTAATATTAAAATTACCCAAAATAAAATTTATCTGTAGCTGAAAGTATACAAATGTGTTCGAAGTATTTAGATTTCATAATTAAATAACTCATAGTGGTTGATCTGCCGCCAAACAAATTCAACCAAACAGCCAACATGAAAGCACTCTTTCATGACAGTAATCCGTATAATGTCCGACAATTAAAGAAACCAAACAGTATTTCAAAATATAAACTACAACACACTCTAGTCATTATGTCCAAACAAACATGTATATATAAAAAAGCTGAGTATCATCTACCATGAATACAACTGTGAAAGCAGAATAACACCAAAATGACGAACAATACATTTTACTTGTAGCTTAAAGCATGCAATTACATTCAAAATATATTTAGTTGAAGTCATAAAACCGTGTTCAAACTATTTAAGTTTCGGCATTAAATAAGTGATAAAGGTTGACATGCCTCTAAACAAAATCAACCACCCAACATGAAAGAAATCTTTCATGACATTAATCCATATAATATCCAACAATTTCTTAAAGACATCAAACTGTATTCCAAAATATAACTTCAACAAAACTACAACATAAAACACACATGTTACCGCCTCTAGTAATTATGTCCACAGAAACATGTTTATGCACAAAAGCTGAGTATCAACTACCATGTATTCAATTGTGAAGGCAGAATAACATATATCATATTTCTAATACTTCAAAGCTCGCAAGAAAATTGAATTTCGGCATTAAATGATCCATTTCTATTTAAATCACTTTTGGTTCTTTTGTTTCTTGTTAAAGAAATAAAAAGTATGAACAATCTGAGATGTAACATTGTTAAATACCTAGGTGACTTTTGGGACAAACTTAACTTAGCAAGTTCAACAGTAAAATGTTGAGACCTACTTTCCATTCCAGTACTGGGTTTAAAGTCATAGAGTTGAAGTAGCAAAAAGAAAAGTACATCAGAACAATTGCCATGAAAATATTTATAAAAAAAAACGTACAGGAAAACTACGTTATGGTTGTAGAAAAGTGATTGAAGCCGAGAGGCCAGGTTAGGACCGATTACATTGCAGATTCTTCTTTGGATTTTTTTCAAGAATCACTAGAACATATCATCATCATTCTTCGACTTCCCTATGGGTGGTCGGAACTCCATTGACAATCTCTTTCCACACTATTCAGTCCCATATTTCTGTCCCCAGATTTAGAAACAGAAAAAAACAATTACAATCGATTAGATGTATGGTTAAAAAAAAAAATCAAAATTATAAGCTTACCTTTATGTGACATTCTCACTAACCATGAAGAAACACAGTATTAGCACAAATTATGCTACTGGTACTTCTGTTTATTAGTTTTGGGTAGTATCAGTACTCCGAGGCTCAAAATGGTGGATTTGGATTTAATTTTTACATACCCATTTTATTACTGATTCTTAAATATTTATGTCCAACACTGAGTCCCGAGCTATAGTGTCTGGGAAAGTCAATTTTCGTGAGAAGACAGTCCTAAAAGAATGTCATAGGATGAAGTCTTTCAGTGATTGGCAAACTGTAGTCGTTTTTGTTTGAGCTTAGGAGAGATTGGTCTCAGTTCTCTGTAAATTGTGTTAAATGTTGCATGAGATCTCCAACTGATGTTCTGGATTTTTTCTAAGTAGATCTATATATGTTCCATTCAGTCCCCTTTTAAGACGAATGGATAATGTCCAAGTTTCTGATCAGTACAGTAGGACTGGTTCAATGTTCGAAAGGTTTGAACTTTTAAGGATTATGGAAGGTTTAAGTGCCAAATCTTGTGAAGTTTGTTACACGTATCCCATGCAAAAGCCTTGCAAATGTTAAAGTCTTTTGGGGAATCTATTATATAAGATCCAAGATATTTGAAGTCCTCGACTATTTTATTAGTCTGATAGCCAAGAGAAAATGACTCCAACAACGTCGTTGTGCTGTTGTCACTACAACTAGAACGGAAATAGGACAAGGAACCGGAAAGAGAAATGTTATACATAACTCCAAAAGGCCATGAATACCGTTTGTCAACAAGGTACCGTTTTTGCTGACGGTGGTTCCATAATCATATCATCATCATCATCATCATTATCCTTCGACCTTCCTATGGTGGGTCGGAATGTCTTTAATAAATAAATTGTCGGACTTTGTCCATTTCCTAATATATGACGTCATTTGTTTACATTTGATACACCAGGAGCAGTTATGAATGTACGAGATTCATGGAAGATTGAAGTTTATAAGCAGTAAATTCAAACATAACATAAAAATGTCTTTAATATATATATATATATATATATATATATATATATATATATATATATATATAGAGAACGCCAAACCAGATGTAAGAGCAATATGCAAAGCACGGACAAGTTAATATACTTATGAATGTGTAAGGCATAATCTGACGAGAAAAAATTGTCTTGCATAACACAGTGAATCAACAAATCTTCCCAAGTTATTAACTCTGCATACCACGATGATGTCAAATAACAGCCTAACCTCAGGGCTTCGGTATTTTACTGTCTTTATAAATGGAACAATCTGTGTAATAAAATCTGTCTACTTCGCCATATGAGTTATCGGTTGGCGTTAATAGAACTCTATCAAGTTGGCAGTCTGGGTTTTGTCGAAGCAGGGGAGGCCGTTGTTCTATCTTGAATTTTTCCATATGATACTTGTT